CAAGATGCATAGTAAGAAGGAAGTCCTCCTTGCTTTGGGAGTGTGGGATTCTAGGCGGTCACAAAAAGTGAGAGAGGAAATAAAATGTTAGAAAGTGGAGGGAGTCATTGCAGACACAACAGTCACCTTATGTAGAACACTGGCCATGGCTGGGAAAGGGGTGTCCCTTCTCCTGTCCCCTGCAAACAGAAGTTGGGGGGCAGCCTGTGTGGACAGGGTCCCAGGGCATCTCTCCACCTGCCACGCACCCTGTGTAGTTTTGACAGCTTTGTAAATAAACTGTTTGGTATTGCTTCTCTCCCCCCACCCCCACCCCCAGTAGCACTGCAACTTAGCTTCAGTTTAGGATAGGATAACAGGAGAGATCAGAGATGATGATGATGATGATGACGACGATTATGATGCAATGGTAGCTAACCCTTAGGTAGCACTTACTAGATGCCTGGCCATTATCAGGACTTATATATTATTATTTCACTTAATCCCCAAAACAATCCTACACAGTAGGTACTCTTATTATCCTATTTTGCAGACAAGGAAAACAAAGTATAGGAAGGTTAAGTGACTTGTCCAAGGTCACACAGATAAAAAGTGAGAGAACAAGACTTCAATTCTGGCAACATGCTCCCACGTGCAAGCTCGTAGCCACTGCATTGTGCTGCTTCTCAACACTTCCAAACTGGGTTGTGAGTCCTAGAACAGGGTTTCTCACACTGCGAGCTGTGACTCATTACATTGTGAAATCAACTTAGTGGGTGTTGCCCAACTTTAATTTTTCTTTTTTTACATGAAATAGGATAGAAAGCAAAATACCGAAGTGATCACAGGCAGCAATGGAAGTATTGTTTTATGGAAATTTTGTTTCGATTTTATATTTGTGTATGTATGTTCTAGGTCATAGCATAAAATGTATTTCTTGCTGAGGGTTGCGATCAAAACCCTCCGAAAGTCACTGCCCTAGAATGAACGTGGAGCCCAGGGCTACAGCCCCAGGGACTTATGGCAAGCTGCTGTGCTTCAGAAAGTGAGGGGCTGTGGTCATCAAGAACTGTCAGCTTCTGAGTTAAAGGAGATACAAGGGCCCTCAAGGGTCTAGTCCCACACATTTATCCCATCGGCGCCTCCATCCGCCCAATGGGATACCCAGGTCTGGAGGAGGGTCCATTTGCACCAGTCTCGTCACCAAACTCCTGCATGCACCTTTCATCCTCTGATAAACCCTATTGATCGAACCCCCCGTTCTTTGCATATGAAGTTCCCTTGCTTGGGTTTCTCTTTGCCTGGTTGAATTCATTCCTATGCATCCTTTTAAACTCAGCTCAGATCTTAAGTTCCCCGACTCTGCCAATACTTTTGTACCTCTTGTAAGTGTTCACTACTGTGTAAAATTATTTGTTTACCTATCTCTCTCATCTATGAGACTTGAAGTTCCTTGAAAACAGGAACCAGGTTGATGCATCTTTGTGTCCCAGGCAGTGGCTGCTGCAGAATTTCTCTACAGGATGGGCTTAGCGGGAGCAATATGGTTGAAAGAAAGGCAGTGGTACTTATCTTGAAGTTTTATTTGTATAGCCCTTTACTGAACCACACGTACATAAGACTCAGAAAACACTATCAATGGCGCATATCAAAGAATGGAGGTGGCTGAACCAGGAGATTAAGACCCACCACCATGACACCCCAGGTTCCACTAATCCCCAATACCTGACTGAAAACTGAAAACTCCAATTATGTGCTCAGCATGAAGCTGGCTTCAAAGCATTAAAAAGCAATTCCTGTGTGTCCCATCTGGTGTGTAAAGGGTCTACACACCAGATGGGACACACATGAACTAACCAAGGCAATGATTCTTAAATTTTCAATTTCCTTCAAAATCTCCCTGAGAGCGTCTTAAAATGTACATGTCTTGGTTTTGGGTGTTTGTAAATGAAAATAATTGACTAGGCTCATGGACATATTATCTTTTAAGGATGTTGCCTT